ATACATACATACATACATATATACATACAGTGATGCCTCGCCTAGCGACGTTAATCCGTTCCGCAAAAATCGCTGCAGAATGAAAACGTTGCTAAGCGATATAAAAAAGCCCACAGAAACGCATTAAAACGCAATTAATGCGTTCCTATGGGCTTAAAACTTACCTTTAAGCGAAGATCCTCCATAGCGCCGCCATTTTCAGTGCCTCTAAAGGGAGGAATCCATCCCTAAACAGAGCGGGCAGCCATTTTGTTTACCCGGTGGCCATTTTGAAACCGCTGATCAGCTGTGCGAAAATGGGCGCTTTGCGATGATCACGGGGAAGCAATCATCGCAAAGCGAAAAAAACCATAGGGACCATTGCAAAGCGATCGCTTTTGCAATGGCAAAAAGTCCAGAGCAAAGCGATTTCTTCACTAAGCGGAGTGATCGCTGTGCGAGGCACCACTGTACATACATACATACCATCTAGTCGTATTTCCACTACTCTGGGCAGTTTCCAGTAGTAAAATAAATATCAAGTGACTTCCAATTTAACATGGAGAGGATCAAGTTGTAAGGCTGCATTTCCTTGCATACTTAGTTGGAAGTAGGTTCCTCAGTAGTTTTCCTTCTAAGGACCAAACTATACATTAACCCACTGATGGGAGAGGGGATTTCTGGAGTGCTGATTGTGTGTGATTGTCCCAGCAGGAACTTTTCTCACTTCCTATACTTTGAAAATTAGCTTGTTTTGCCTTATGATTGCTCTTCAAACCATACATTCCTCCTTTGTAACTCTGATTTTCCAAATACAAGATGCTGCTTCAGTCTTGTTTCTTGGACACTGATTTCAGCTCTAGTGACAGGTTATCTGTGCTGTATATACTTAATTCAGTGGGACTTATGTGTGGGTAAACATGTAAAGAATCGTCCTGTAAGAAGGGGAGGGGGAGATGCAAACCTGTGCCTGTTTACTCCTATATGATTGTTTCCAGATGCTTAGGGGATGCCCTTTATTCTTGATACAGAAAAATATTTTAAGGAAAACATTATTTTGAGCTCTTAAAACCATGATTTCTTGGTAATAGCTTCACAACAAAGAGTTTTCTTGGGGAGCTAAAATGTCAGATAGCACCGACAGACTGCAGAAAAGCTAGAATGTTTTAGAAAAACTTACAGACAAGAAAACTGTTGGTTTTTCTGTGTCAGTAATGAGCGAGAAGTCATATTTTTGAAATATAACAATGCAAAAGCACTCTCTTTTTGTAAGGAAGACATAATACACAGATAAACACATCTTTTGTTTGATCATAGATTATGCATGTGTCTACTCTTTGTGACAAGGTATTAGCATCCCACGGAGGGGAGGGGAGGGGAACTATTACCTATTTCATATTTATATGTAAGATTTGTGCCAGGAACTGGTGTGCACTATTCCTCATTCTTCCACTTATTTTCTCCAATCTGGCCCTCCATTTTAATACCAGTTGATTAAAGAGTAGTGAATATTTTTTCCATATATTGCACCAGTGTCTTGCAAGATGCCATGTGAGTCATGGATGTTGTTGTCTTTCAGTATCTATTTGCACTTATCAGCACAGGCCAGAAGTTGTAACTGCTTTCGTAATACAGGTGATGCTTAAGCTTTTGTGGAGCTGCTTAAAGTGCTTCATAGTGAATGGTTGATTTCAGGCAGGTGTAACATGATGTGTGGGATTGTGAAGATTTTTTCCTCACTTTTTCCTGTTGCTCGACAAGGGCTGGCCAAGCAGCTGCAAGGGGAGATATACTACATGGTGACTTCAGTCTTCGCCTTCCCTGTCTTGGGGTTGTCTTGGGCTTCATTGGTGGGTTCAGCTGTCACTCAACTTCTCCTTTGACACCAGCAGTTCAGTTCCAGCACTGTGTATACTTTCCATTCCCTGTTTCTTCAGTTCAGACTGCTGGGCTTCTTTTAAAACTCTTTAACCCAAAGAGTGCTGAATGGAAAACAAACGATCCATAGATGTTCCCCACACACACACACCTCCAGGGGAAGCTGTGTTGTAGTTACTCTGGAATCACACAAATATCCTGATTTATTGCACTTGTTGAATGTAGACATACTCTGCTCTGAAAACAGATTATGTCTGCATTCAACAAGTGCAATAAATCAAAATCCCCTGAGTTCTGAAGACAACAGAGCAGTAAAATCTCATTTTCTGCTTGCCCTGGAGAACATCCAAACATTTAGCTACTGAGATATCTGAGAAAAACAAGAAAGTTAGCTTTACACCGATGTGGAGATCCTCATGAAAGCAAACAGGGAACCAACTCAGATCACGCAGAGGTGATTCTGTATCTGTAATCAATGTGTGTGATATAAGGAGGTTGTTCTTGACATGTTTCTCAGCTGCTGAGGAGTCTTCTATAATGCCAGATCCTGAAAGATGGGTATTTGCTGCCTTTGAAGGGTTCTCTTGAGGGCTTTTGTCTACAGTTTGCATTTGCACTGGTTTTCCCCCCACTTTCTAGTGAATGGCCAGAGCTTGCTTCCCTCCACATATCCTCTGTGCACGCTTCATTGTCAGTTCACTCCTCCTGGTGTCATGAATCAAGTGTTAAACTTGGGCTGGTCCAACCCTTTTCAGCCCTTCAGTACCACTGACCGATCAGCATCACCTGCCTTACAGGGCTGTTGGAAAGATAAAACAGGAGAGCTATTTGGAGTTGCATCTATATAGTCAACTCCATAAATATCTGAATATTGCTTAGGAAGCCACTCTCAGCATAAAATCCTGCCTCATAAGGTTGTCTGTCTCTCTACAGTGTACATTTAATCCAAAGTCTACTTCCAATAAATCCCAATAGTCTTTGCAGTCTGTTTTTGGCATAATTTGCTTTCTAAAACACTGATGTCAGAGATGTTTGGTTAACGTCAGTCTAATTCTCTGCTGTATCCATCGTTATCAACTAATTTTGACACTGGTTTCTAATTGATCTCTTAATTCTTGGCGTCAACGTGAATGTTGAAGCTATAGCTATGTAACACCCTGAAATATGGTGAGACATATATTTCCCCAGTATTCCACAATTGGCAGATCCCAAGGAAGTGTGTATTGACTGAGAGACACAATTGTTTGGATGTATCACATGTGCGGCAAAGAAATGCAAAATAGCTAGGATGTTACATTTATTTTCAGCTCTACAGTTACAGTTGATTCCACTGAAAATCAGGAGCAATTGAGTGATGTTATACTGCATTTTTACCAAAGCTGAGAAAATTTCATAGCATTTATTCAATGAAAGATAAAGAGAACAGGGA